ACTCGACACAACGCACTTGAACACGACCTAACGCCCTGAAAGCCGACGAGCAAATGCATCCTCTCTTAAGAGGCTGCCTTTATATAGGGTGTCAACGCAACTGCCTATTTTGTTGTTTTATATTTTTGCCATAATTTATTTCATCCTTATAATATATATTTTATTGGAATCTCGGAATCGGCTCCAACGATTTTCATACAATTACATAAAACTACTACTATTACTACTATTCACCGGGCGAGCCGGCCCGATTCGTGCGAAGATGTTAAAGCGGGAAACAAACCTTTTTACTTGTAGCCGCGTAATTAAAGACACACAGGACTCTACTTCATAGAATTTAAACAATGAATTTGATAAGTTTATTGGTCAAACTTATTCTCCCTTTTATTTACACAACAACCTTTACGTTTACGATCGCGACTGTTTGCTCATTGCCCCGTAGTAAAATATCGGTAACAGTCCAATCCGTCTCTGTCCACAACCCCTGCTTTCTGACATGAATTAATGGGTTACGTAATTAAAGTAGTAAACAGCAGGTGTGCCAGATCGGTACGACGCTGACAAAATGCATATAAAGTGAGCTATTAAAATGCCCTGATGAAGTGTTAAATACAACTTAAGCGTGGAAATAAAACTGCAAAAACCTAGAAGTTAAAACTAATATATTTAAAAAATCTAAGAATGTGGAATAATGGTGTTGCGAGTCGATTTTGTGTTAACACAAGTATTGACTCGTGCAGTAAAGATCTCAAATGTATTTATGTACCTACTAGCGGTTGCCCGCGACTCCGTCTGCGCTAAATTAAAATAAAACTTAATTAGTAGTCTATGTGTTCTTCCAGGCTTTGTTCTATATCTATGCCAAATCTCAGCGAGATCCATGCAGCTGTCTTGGGAATACTTTCAAACAAACATCCGTCCATCCAAACATTCGCATTTATTTATATTAGGAAGAAGTAAGAAGTAAGATTGATCGATTTTGTGGCGAATTGATCAAATATTATACCAACATCTAGGTGAGAAAATGTTCAATTCAAACTACTCAAATTGTGTATTAATAATTAATTCCCAAACAGTTTTTATTTTATTTCGAATAATCCGAATGTAGGAAGGACTCTACCGAGATTCATTTTGATTACGGACGGGATTAGGGCTTAAGAGCCGTGGGAGTGAACAGACGGAGTTACCAGTAAAGCGACAATTACACGACCCTTCTAAATTATATTGCGTATAGGATGATTACACTCCTAACAATTAATTTGCATGTCTATTCCCTACATGTGTCTCTAACCCTTATTTAAAAACGGTTACGTTTTGTTTAAAACTGTACCGTTTATCTTATTTGATTGACTGAACTCTACTTTACCCTTATGTTAGATTTTACTGAAAAAATTCTAAACAGTGGGTTTCTGATATTAAAATCTCTGTATAAAACATATCGTCATCCCTGCTTTCATCTATAATAAAATAGAGATAACATTATGTTTTAAACGGAGATTTAGGTCTCAGAAACCCACGTTAAAATAAATTATATAGACGTTACAATAACCTAATCTCAATTTAAAATATCGAAAAATTGATTTTTAAAAGATTGTAAAAGAAGTCAGTAAGATTCTAACTTGACTTTAAAAACATACAAACCCACTTACGTAAAAATAAACTTACATACGCGCGAAAAACACCCTTTTATCCCCTACCCCTTTTATCATTCATAGAAGAATCAAAAAAACACAATCCACAAAAGTTGGTATGACAAAATGAAATAATTAATCTAGACTTTTGGAAGTTCAGTTTTTATTTATAACTTTGCTGTGCGCTACAACACGCAACAGCAAATTTATGTGTCATGTAAAGTATAAATAAACAACAAAACGTGCTCTTGCATTCAGTGACTTCATGACAGCACCGCATTACGAGCATTGGATACGTACAATCATACTGTACCATTGACCTTAATTCAAAGGGTGTTCTATTTGCTTAATTTTATATTTTAAGCAAGATTCGTTCGTTCCAACATTTTTGTACCATAGAGTGTTCAAACATATTTTTCATGGATTATTTTAAATTATTTATCAAGCGCACACTATCAAGTTTTCTTACTGAAATATCTAAAAAATGTTTCGAAGCTGCTCACATGAGAAATATCAGTATAAAAATAACAAAAGAATACACTTGGAAAATTATTTGAAAAGAAGAAGGTTTCTTTTTTAACAATACCAACAATAGTGTGCCAGTTTTTCGCCGCGTATTTTTTGTTGGAGTCGAAAATTTAGTGCCACCACTTTTAAACTTGACCTGTTACAAAGAACAGAGAAATGAAAAGAGTGGCAAAAGTTTGTGGAAATAATATTTTAAAAGAGATGTACATATTGTTCAACTCTTTTTTCCAAAATATTCTTTACTTATCGTATAACTGTATATTGCTTGAGTAATATTATTTTCATCGAATTATATAACAATAAAATTAAGTAATATGGAGATTTGTATTTCTAATGCAATCGTAGATATAGTAATTATGAAAAATAATTTACTTTACATAATATGTTTTATGTTTAATTTTAAAGCAAACTATTGAAGTAAGAATTTAAAAGAAAATTTGCGCACGATTAGGAGTGTAAACGTAAAGCGTTCTATAACAGCAACTCTACAACTTTCTCTGTGCCATTATCCCGTATTCCCACATTCGTTCCCCAGCCGGATTACATGACGCCCGCCGGCATTTTGCATTATCTCCTCTTAGATTTCTCTTTAAAAAAACAAGGAAAGGAAACCCGTATTTTACTAATTCTACATTCTTTAACACCGTCCTACTTAGCACGCTTTAGCGATTTATTTTTACTCTTAAAGCTTAGTTCAAACCCTAAGGATTACTTTGAGATAGAACTTTTTGATTTATTATAAAGCGCATCGTTCTCTGTTAAAAAGGGACAATAGGAACTATAATTAATTATACTACAGTCCTATTTCCATTGCAGTATCTAAAACAAAAATATGTGTGAAGTCAACCAACCAGCACCGGGCCAGCGTGGTTGACTATGGCCTAGTCATCGTACCCTGGGTAGGCTCTGAACTCCTCGGTGGGGACGTGATGAGCTAACGACGATAAAAAGTGTTTGAGAAATTAAATACAAACTAATCTACATCGTTAGTTTTCGTTTGTTCTTTCGTATACCTAAACATATTCCAGTCTTAGAATATTCCTTTATTCTTTTCTGTCGGCCACTGTAAAACCAAAGACGTTTTCGTGACCCAGTTTACATTCCCACTTCACACCTCCACTGCCGTTTATATGTTTTTGTGTGAAAGAAAGAGGCGAGATATTCTTTTAAATCTTAAAATCAGGCCACGTTTTTAAATTTGGTCTTTTGAATGACAAAATGGAGACAGTTATTTTAGTAGAATATTTTGAACAAAGACTCTAAAGGTTTCAAAAGTGTCATCTTAGTTTGATGAAAAGATAAAGAACTGGCTGATTTTATAACTTGTTTTTTCTGGCAACATTAAAAAAATATGGTCAACGATTACTTATGTATCAGAACCTTTTTTTCAAGTTCAATCAAATATATCTTACTAATATTATAAATGCGAATGTTTAGATGGATGTTTGTTTAAAGGTATCTCCATAACAGCTCGGTAAAATTTACCATAGATGTAAAACACAATCTGGAAGAACGCAAAGGCTACTAACTAAGTTTTTGTTAATTCAACGCGAATGGAGTTGCGGGCGACAGCTAGTAATAATAAACATTACTACTTAATCAAGTAATTAAAATGTAATGTCAAATGTATGTATGTTGCTTTACACTCTATCAAGATGACTTATATTAATTTCCACTTTGAGTTCATTTAGGTGTACGTTCAGTATTGAGGCAAACTTCACTTAGAAGCCATTAGCTGAATATTGCCTAATTAGGTCACATGCAAGTAACTGTGATAGTTGAGTTTCACAAAGTGCACGCAGGCTCGCTTTATCCTTAAAAGGTACTCAGCGAGATATACGTAATTTACATAAATAGTAATAAGTAATAAAATTCATATGTAATGTTTAAAAAAATCAAAATATTTATATTCTTTTCTTCCTCCACAAAAATTAAAAATAAGGTATAACAAGTGGAAGTATTTTTAAATATTAATAAACAATGTTACAGTAATGTGATTTTATAATTTAATATCAATTTAAATAAATCGTTGCTCTAAATGCTGTGTTAAAAATACGAAAACAAAATTTAAAACTCTGCCCTCTATCGGTAACTTCACGAATTACGTTGGAAACTGCCCTACAGCACATAATTGTGCTCTGGTAGTCCTGGCACAAATATCGATAACAATCGCCACCGTATCGTCTGGTCGTAATGGGAATATGAAAAATAGTCTATTTCTATTATTAGTTTACGGATGTGTACGATTATTATTTTTTGTTGCGTTTGTTTATTATGCTAAATATATTAAGAGTATATTGTATTAAGGAATAATCTCAATAGCAAACACTATACATTTAATTTAAACGTACTAATATTATGTATTTACATAAAATAGCATTTTATGCATAAACAAGATATTTTCACTAACCATTTGCACACGTATCACAGACTGTAGTACATTTCTCATGAGTTAATTTAATTAAGAAAACTTTTTTATGATTTGACAACAGCGCCATCTATTTGAAGTTTGAAACAATATTCGCTTCATATTAATATAACAATTTCTGGAGGTAACAAACATCCATATATCCAAGAATACAAGAATATTATTAATCTTGGATGTCTGAATATTTCACTGAACCTATGTGTCGTAATCTTTAACCAGTTTTTAATATTGTTTGCCGGATCTTAAATATTATTTCTTTTTTATAGTCGTCAGCACTGATTATTATCAGTCTTAATACGGTTTTTAAATACCCGGAATATCTTTTTATTAGATAATTTTAATTTAATCCTTTCTACTATCACATATCTTCAATTAAGTAAGTGATAAATTGAATTAAAATAAATAGATACGCAAGTTTTAGAACCATCTAGTTATTTGTCATTCACGTCAGAATTTTTTTGTGTCCAAAGATGAAATTACTATTCACCTTTTTAGCAAGTTTAGTTGTAGTTAATTGTTATGTAACAGATGTTAACTCAGAAATAAATGATGTTTATAACTATCTGAATACTACAGGAGTTCTAGAAGCAGAAAGAATTAGAAGATTGGAAAATGAGATAGATAATTCAGGACAAAGAATTGTTGGTGGATCTCCGAGCAATGGCGTGCCTAACCAGGTAATTAAATTAAAATTAATTAATAAAATATTAAAAACGCTGTGTTATGTAATTTTTTTTTAAATATTAGCAGATATTTTGTAAATTTACTAATATTTCTTTAACCATTCCAAATAAGCTCTAAGCTTCTACTAGGATATGGTTTACGACAATAGTCGAATGGCGGGATTCGAACCCCCGACCTCGTGATCGGAAATCCGTACCCTGATCCATTAGGCTATTGACGCTTAAATTAGTTATAAACCACATTAAAGTGTGTCTATTTAAGATGGATAAGTTTGACAATTCAATTGACAACTCCCTAGATATGGGTTGAGTAAAATCGATTTGGATTTTTTTCGATTTTCGATGGTTGTTCTCATAGAACTTGAAATCTATATTTTAAATAGAAATTAAAATCAACAGATGTCGCCACCTTAAGTAGTGGACGTGGGACAATGTTTTAATTTTCGAAACTTCTGTAACATATTTCTGGCAAAATGTGAAATTTAAAATCAAAATATTTAATTTTTATATAATTCGACTATTATCGTTAGTTGGAATGGTAAAAGAAATATTAGTAAATTTTCAAAAAATCTGCTAATATTTAAAAAAAAATATCTCACCCTTCTTAGAACTGATAAAAATAATAACGTCAAGTCATAACTTTCTTTAACTGGTTACATTGTTTTCAATATTTGCTGATGTCTTTTAAAACGTCTATTTTAAACATTTAATGACGGTAAATTTTATCGCTGATGCATCGCTTAAAAATGTTTACTACTTTTTTCATAGGTGGGTCTTATTGTTACATTACGAGATGGACGTCAAGCGGTGTGTGGAGGTGTCATATACGCTGACAATAGAATTTTAACTGCGGCTCATTGCACCAACGATGGTGTTAACATCGCTCGCTCAGTCACCGTGGTCGCGGGTTCCAACTTTCTATTCTCTGGTGGTACCAGAATCGAAGCGCAAAGCGTTGTCATACACCCAGGGTATGTCCCTGGGAGAGTTGCATTTGACCTTGCCATTTTACACATTCCAAGACTAACTTATTCTGGTAAGTTTCTTATGAGGATTCTTACTTTTCTTACTAATATTATAAATGCGAATGTTTAGATGGATGGATGTTTGTTCGAAGGTATCTCCAGAACGGCTGAACGGATCTCAATAAAATTTGGCATACATATAAAACAAAGTCTGGAAGAACGCATAGGCTACTAAGTATGTTTGTTTTTAATTCAACGCGTACGAAGTCGCGGGCGACAGCTAGTATTTTATAAATTCTAAAATGTTCTAACTAAAGTTTTACATTCTACTACAGATGATATAAGTCCTGCATTTTTACCTTGGAGTGATGATATTAACAATGACTTCGTAGGACAATCAGTCCGTGCCTCTGGATATGGAATCACGAGAGACGGTATGCACATTCAAATATTCAAATCTGTTGTTAACTACTGAATAAGATTAACATCTTATCATCTTGGTATTACCATCTTCTGACAAGATAACAAATATGTGTACGATAGCAAATATAAAAAAAAAACTCATACTATGTCTTAAATTGGTTTCTGACACCAAATTTCTGTATGAAATATATCACAATCTCTGTCATAATCTTTGACATATGTCCATAACAATATGTTTTAAACGATTATTTCGCCCTCAGTAACCCACGGTTAGTTATTCACACAACTAACGTTTAACGTAGATACATAGCTTGTATACGTTTAATATATTTCTTGTAAGGATTTTGTTTTTAAATTACATTTTTTATTAACTAAGTAATATGTTACTACGACTAACAGGCGACACAATTACTACACAGCAACCATTAAGGAGTGTTAACCTTCGCGTAATATCGAATGCCGAATGTAGATCTACGTACGGTAATGTAATACAAGATCATCATCTGTGTACGAGCGGTGCAGGCGGTGTTGGTATCTGTGCTGGTGACACGGGAGGTCCTCTAGTCATTCCCGGATCATGGAGAGATACCCTTGTAAGTATTATCTTAAGCTTCTCACTTAATACGTGTATTTAGTTTTCACTAAGGCTTAGCCGCACAATTCTAGTTGCGGTAGGCCGCCTTTCGCTACTGTCGCGGTTGTGAATGCTACAATGAATAACAGTCACGTGGTTGGCATCTGAGTGGAATTAGTTAGTTAGTATTTATATTGTTCGAAAGTTACCTGATATCGCCTTAACAGCTCAATCTTCAGTCCGCAAAACCTGAAAAAGAATGCAAACAATATCACTTTGTTATCATTTGAAGTCTTATACCTTTGTCCTTGAGATTCAAGGTCATGGGACTTAATAAATCTAATCATTACTGATTATTACACGTGTTGTATAATATTTTCAGATTGGCGTTGGATCGTTTACAGCTGGTCGAGGTTGCCAGGCGGGAGCTCCGTCCGGCTTTATCAGAGTTACATCGTTCATTGGATGGATTATGGGAAACTAAATGAACTAAAGCAATTGTTTTTTTTTAATCTAATTTTTAACTGAAGTGACAGAATAAAAATTAGATCACATAACTTTATATTTAAACCATGACCTATTTTTTAAACACAACGTTGATGTCGTCAACATCAGATTCAATAGTTACCTATCGCTTAAATTATCATTTCCCTTTATCCAAAATTCTAAGGCTTAAATACATAGGAATATATTTTTTTAATAGAATAACAAGAACGTAAACAAAATTGTCATATTTAGTGGAAATTGCATAAATAAGTCCTAGTGTAAACAGACCTTAAAGATGCAACAGAAAAGAAATAATTGAGGAAGTGAGCACAATGAATATATGATGATCTCACACCATTTCATCTCAATAAAATCGCTCTTCAAAGGGTAAATGTACATTTAAGTGGGACGCGAAGTTTTCTTGTAATTACATTTTTATGACCCAGACGCTAGGGCTATAATGCAAATATAATAAAGTGGCGTCGAGTCGGCGACGCGTCAGTGGCACAGGGGTTAAGCACTTTACTTGTAATATTCAGGGCCTGGGTTCGAATCCCGCACACCAATGTGTTTTTCGATTATCCATACGTTTATCTGAAGTTCCAACAGTGAAGGAAGACATCGGGATGGAACGCTAGCGTAGTTGACTATGACCTAGCCCGGCTTAGGATAGCTCCGAGCCCCTCAGTGGGTACCTATAGCTAATAACTCCTACCTACCAAAAATCATTATATACATAATTTTATATCCTTTTGACACAATTATTTTAATTTATTGTGCATAATGGACCAATATTCGGTTAAAACATTTTTACTTTTTACGCAAAAAATAAAATTGAGTAAAAATGTGAAAATAATTTGAAACTAAGTGCTTCCTATTATAAAAAAATAATAGAAAGCCATGCATTAAAAAGAATTAAGTTTTAAGCATATAAAATCCGAAGAAAATAATTTTTTAAAGGAGAACTACCCAGGCTGCGTTGACCTGTCTGTGACCTTCACACTACGACTGTTCGTTGTCATAGTGTATTTTCTTAAATTTAATAGCTAGCCATTAATTAAATAAACATTCACGTAACAAAAATAGCTGGTGGCATAACTTATTTAAAAAAATGAAAATACTTACGATTCGCTTTGACCATGATGGTCAATGACCGCGAACATAACAGTTCTTGTTGCCTACACACACTGAGTAATTTATACCTTAACACAATTGAATAAAGTTCACTTCAAATCTAACACTTAAATATGTACCTACACTACCAAGAAACACGATATATGCGCGACTTACTTTCTCGCCAGAGAAATGTGCGATAGTAAACTTATTTTGATACAAAAACCATTAAAAATTAAGGTTTTTTATCTAATCAAATCAGTTTTGTTTATTTTCGCGATGCAACATTTCGTGCACTTTACACAACGCGTGACTTTGAGTGACTGAAGTGTAGAAAATTAATACGTCGAAGCTAATATCAAAGTACCGTCTTTTTCAATTATACTTTTTTTCTCCTATATTTCCGTAAAAAGCATAGATAATTAAGTAAATATAATGTAAAACTGACGTAGTATTTGTGTAGATTCTTGTTGTTGCCTCTATAGTTTTAAATAGAAAGAAAGGGATGAAAATATAATTTTAATACAAGTATTTCAAAAAACGCAAAGTTAGATGTTGCAATTTCAATGAGAACTAGCGATTGCCCGCGACTTCTGCGCAAAAGAAAAGAAGCCTATAATATGCAGTGTTGTAGAACAAACGCGGATTTTTTGACAGACAGACTGGACTGACATACAAAACTTTAAAAAATTGGATAGTCATTATAAGCAACAACGCATCAGACACTCCAATTTTATTTATTGTATAGATATGTAGAAAGATTATAAACATTCCGAATACTAAAGGGATATTGCAAATTGTTTGTTTAAATATTATATAGCTTAATAAATAATATGCTGGATATTTAAGTATATACGAAAATAAGTATTTATATTTAGTGTTGCCACGCTTGGCTGCCTATGATATAAATTGTTTCCAGTCTGCGGAACACAAGCCCTATATACATTAGCCCCTTTACAACAAAATACTAGAGATACAAACGTAATTTGACGTACTATCGAATTCAGAATTATTCTGTTTCGTTTTCTATCACAAACTTAGAAATACCATAGGCATTTTCTTCTGACTTTCCGCTACCGATTTACCCTTACTTGAGAAAAAATTACAATGCGCTTTTTACAATTGACATTAATCACAGTTACAAAAAAAACTCGCCTGGGGGACGAATCGTAACTCTTAATATAAAAGCGTCAATAGCCTAATGGTTAAGGGTACTGACTTCCGATCACGAGCTCGGGCGTTCGAATCCCGCCATTCGACTATTGTCGTAAACCATATCCTAGCACAAGCCTAGCCTAGCTTAGTTGGAATGGTAAAATAAATATTAGTAAATTTACAACAAAAATCTGCTAATATTAAAAAAAAATAAAAAAAAGTGAACAGACTAATACTAAGACTAATACTATAACCTAAATATGTGTATGATGATATACATTTCTCGAACATTTTTACACCCAGTCAGCTTGTGACGTCAGTCTTATTTTACCAACCATTACGCCAACGAAAGGTTAAATGAAACGACACGAGTATTATTAAAAAGATCATAGTTAAAGAGAATAATTTTGATTTTCATTGAGCTGTTGATACTAGAAATAAGTTTAAAAATTTATAAAAACTTAACTTAGTTTTCTTAAGTTTACGATTAACATATCTCTTAAATGTAAAATCAAAAGTGCTCGAAATCAGTTTTCATTTGAGTTTAAACATCCATTTTTTCATGCCTTACGTTCAGAAATATCTTTGACGTTGCGAAGAATAAAGTGCTTTAAGTAGTCTATCAAATGACGATATTAAAATCCACTATCACATAAAATTGCTGGAAAATATACTATTGAAGATCACAGCCCTTCAATAGAAGCCACTGCGATGTTTTTCTGTCTGTCCGAATCCGAGATAACCCCTCTCTTACATTTGAGTGGCGAGTTTGCGTAGAAAGTCCCCCTTTCCTAAAAGAGTAAGAGGGTGGGACAACTGCCAGACATAAGCCAAAATATTGATTAATTCACTCAAACCGAAGTACGACGTATAGTAGGAGAATGTACGATTATTTAGGTTTATAAGTTTACATGTCAAATCTAATATCAAAAGTTAAATTCCGTATGGTAATTTTAAAATAATAAACGTTTCTTTCTTTATTGTAGTAAACTCAGTATCTTTGTGTTAAACCGGATTTCAATAATCTTCTACAGAACTATAATAATATAAAGAATACAGTATGTATTTTAAAACTATAAATCATTGTTGAAATATTATTTAGACTATTGTAGATTATTAATTGTTGATTTCTGAACACCTTTTATAAAAATATTATTATCTCTTTTTTGTTAAGTATAATGAGAGGGACAACGATATGTTATAAAAGATTTTGGTCTTAAAAATAAACGATAAGAAATGGACTCAGACAACAATAAAAACGGGTTTACCCTTTGACATAATTAAAAGTAATACTTTTTTGCTATATTTAATTCAATAATGAGTGAGTACCAGGTGATACAATCATTAACAATAACATTGGAAATAAACTTGTCAAATGAACCTTGACTGTTTACATTGCATCTGTTCGATAAAATTGACTTTGCACCAGCTAATAATAGGGACATCAAATACATAGCTATTAATGATAAAGGATGGCTCGCAAACTTTGTACGATTTAAATCCTACAAACTGTTTTTAATGAGTATAGAAGAGTTTCCTCTAGAGAAACATCTAGTCAGTTTTCTTCAAAAGACAGTACATTTATTAGCATACAAAATAAGTGTAGCATATATCGTAACTGGGTCATCGAATCTAACCCAATTATGTAGGAAGTTACAATAGATACAATGAAATATTTCGTTGACATGCAAATAATGTTGCAACCAACTCCCTTCCACGTTACAAGAGGTTTCTAGATGGTCATGGATTGCAAAATAAATTTAGTCTTGATGGAAATTCGCATGATTTTAATCATTCAGAAAATAAGTATCAGAGAGGTACTCAGATTAGATTTTATCTATGAAGAGCATCTTTTTTGTATTACAAAATAAATTAAGCATCGTACACCAAAATAAATTAATAAAGTAGATAGCATGTAAAGATACAACAGCAGGAATAATTAATACACATGGGCTAATGGGCTAGCGTCGCGTTCAGTTTACACCGCACGGCCGTGTGCGGCGCACGGTTACTACGCGGCGCGAGGTCACGCGCTCGCTCATCGAATATTTTTAATTCTTACGAAACGATAACGTCACCGTCAACATTACCTCATAGCATCTATAATACTATTATTAACTACGTAAGCCGGTATTCGGCAGTACCCGCGTGGTAGCATAACAAAACGACCGCATGAACGCTCCGCTAATATGACGAAGTACACAGCCCTCGCTTTTTACTTCCTAGCGCCGTTATTAGCGAGCGGCTACAGAATATTGGGCATATTCCCGTCATTGGATCGCAACAACCATCTCACGTACCGCGGCTTGCTAAAGGAACTAGCGATCAGAAATCATGATGTGACCGTGATCAGTCATTTTCAATTACCAGATGCACCTTCTTCTTATCACCATGTTCCTCTCAGCGACACGCAAGTCCTCAAAGGATTATCCTTCGAGTCAGTGATACCGAGTGAAATTTCGCGGGTGCCTTTCGAAACGCTCGTATCGACGAAATCTGGCAACGATGACTGTAAAGTTTTGATGAATAATCATCAAGTGCTTCATATGATAAGAAGTCGACCTAGATTTGATGTTATTATTGTGGAGTCTTACAACAGTGACTGTGGAATAGCATTTGCGGCCAATCTCAGTGCTCCATACATTTTGTTTAACCCTCAACCGATCCATCCTTGGCAGTACAACAGACTGGGGATCAACTTTAATTCAGCCTTTATACCACAATCGTTGCTGCCTTATGGAAAGAATCCATGGTTCTTTGACAGATTGCGAAGTTATATACTGTATCATATAGCCAACTGGGTGTACTACATCGGGTCCCAAGTGACAGACCACGTGTACCTCTACAAGTATCTAGGCGACGACTTGCCCTCGTTGGAGAGTTTCGCGTCGAACGCTAGCTTGGTGTTTGTAAACACGCATCAGTCAGTGTACGGAGGCTTCCCCAGACCTGATAACGTAATTGATATCGGTGGAATTCATATTAGACCGCCTAAAATTATTCCAACGGTAAGTAAATTTTATTTGAATATCATTAAATCAACTAGTTGGTAATCTCAATCACCCAAAAATTTTAGCTTGCTTTTTTTAAAATTTTTGGGTTGACTAACGAACATTTTAATGTCCGTTAGGCAGCAGACTACTACCGAATATTAGTAATTTATTGGCAAAACGACTCCGACAGAGACCGAAATCGTGATATGGTATTTTATATTTAGTTTTATGTTTACTATGAGTCACGATTTGTCCTTGTCATTTAATAAAAACGTAATATAAAGCAAAAAATAACAGTATGAGCCAACAACCTACCACAAAATTGTCCCTTTAAACTCCTACAAGGATGAAACTACGTATTACAATGAGTAAACAATAACAAGATACAAATGTTATCTAGTTGTATTTATATTTACACTTGCACAATAACTCATATATTCAAGATTTGTTGTACGAGTAAGATTGTCGTACTTTGAGTCATAATCAAAAGTAGCTCATATTGATTTTGAGCGCGCGCATCGAGACTGAATGCCAAGGACGATGTTTATATACCATATTTATTATTGTGTGTATTTATTCACTTAACATCTCCAAAATGCGTGTTTTAAACAGATAAAGACTGTATACAATTTTTTATTTAGTCATAAACTCGTTTACTTGCATCACTAGAAGACATATTAGGCCATTTACAAAATAAATAATAAATATGATAAAAAGACAATTTTTAAAATAAATTAACGTTTAAAATTAAAATTAAAAGTTTTAACTAGTCAAAATTAGTACAAAATAGTGGAAGACAAACCAAGCAGAAGCATAAGACGAACCTTGATATGTCACGGTTCAGAATTTCATTGTTATGCAAATGTGTATTCTAAAATTTTAAGTATAGTTTCTCGAGCTACAATTAGTCATTGGAGATTTAAAAAACAAGTTAAAATAATGGATGTGAGAATAAATTTATTATTTTATTTTTGCAGGAAATCGAAAGATTTATAAACGAAGCGGAATACGGAGTGATATACATGAACTTAGGCTCTACAGTCAAAGACTCTACATTACCTAAAGAAAAGTTGAATGAACTTCTATCGACTTTCAGCAAATTACCATTACGAATACTATGGAAATGGGATGGTGAAGTCATAGAAAACTTACCGAGAAATATCATGACAATGAGATGGCTTCCACAATATGAAATACTAAGTAAGTTATTACCTTATAATATAAAATTCTTGTGTCACAATGTTAGTTACCATACTCCTCCAAAACCGCTCTACCAATTTTTATGACATTTTAGATTCAGTAAGTATGAGAATCGGTCACGGTTCTGTTTTTTAAATCCCGCGCGGGCGGAGTCATGGGCGACTTTTGCTACTAACTCTAACTGGGAGAATACTGTCATGAAACCACCAAATGTTAAAATATCTTAAAGCACAATTAAAAAGACCGATTGTTGTCTATGTTACTTTTTTATTAAGGAGGCCTGAATTTTTTTTACCTGTTACTTTTATCGTTCGTTAGACATTCATTTAAATAATTTTATTTAATTCCACATTACAGAACATGATAACGTGAAAGTATTTATCTCTCATGCCGGTATACTGAGTACGATTGAGGCTATCGACTCAGGTATCCCTGTGGTGGCAATCCCTTTATTCGGAGACCAGTATGGAAATGCTGCAGCTATGTCAGACGCCGGTATTGCAACTATCGTAGCGTACAATGATTTAAAGAAATCACTACTCTTGGATGCAATAAATGAAGCATTAGATTCAAAGTAAGTATCTTTAGTGAGAAGAAATTGTGCAAAAGAAACGTGACAAGGACCAATTTATAGTTTATATTCCTTGAAATCAAAGTACTACTTGCCTAACTCAAATGTTGAATACTGAAAGTGATGGTATTTAAGGTTTGTTTCTTATTCCAGATGTCAACAGCGTGCCAAACTTGTGTCGAAAGTGTGGCACGACCGTTCTATGTCCCCATTGGAGACAGCTATATATTGGACAGAATATGTAGCCAGATACAACGGTGCACCGAACTTACAGGCGACTTCTGCTCAATTACCCTTGTACCAACAATTACAGTTGGACGTACTTGCGTTTGTTGCTATTGTATTATATATTCTAGCATACGTGGTGTATAAAATCCTAAGTGTATGTTGCTTTTGCTGCTGCCAGAATGATGCAGCATCTCAAAAAGCCGGTGAAGAAAGAAGAAAAGAAAGAAGAGTGAAATTTGATTAAGTCTCAGAGTCTTTGTGTGTTATAAGGAATATGGGACAGTTATTAAAATAACTTAATGTGAACATTAATATTAGATAAACACTTGACTATCGATATATTTATTATGCAGATGTTATGATAAATATTATGAAAATCGGAATGTTTTATTTTCCATTATTTTACATATCATTTGTAGCACTTAAAAAACAGAATCTAAAGTGATTTAAGACATTTGAGTGAGCAAAATCAGAAAACCTTTTGATTCAGGCGTTAAAAACATACTTAGAAGTAAAATTTTACCAGGGCGTTAACTTTCGTTTTACCTTATACATATTTATGGCACTTCTATTCAATTGGAATTTAAGCTAGTAGAATCGCCTGTGAAAAAAATAAGGCAAAAACACATAAACGAAAATTTAGTACAAAATCACAAAAGTATGTATAAATGTATTTTTTGCTGACCAGAAATCGTACTTTGATTTGATAATTAAAAAAAAACATATTAAGAAAATATTTTTGCACTTTTAGATATTTTACTAGTTCTAAATTTGCTACGAAAATCAAGTTTATTAGGTTTCCGTAATACGTTATATAGTAATTGTGCTATTTTTAATTATTTTGACACAAATTTTATATCTTAACCGTTTATGTAATTCAATAATCAGTTTTTAACGATAAAAATTGATTAAAGTATTCAGTTCAGATTTTGTTTACAGCCGTGTGGATTTATATTTTAAATCGTAAACATTTAAAATGCTAGTGTCAGTGATATTAACGTTAATTTTAATATCAATTTTCAATACAAGTAATGAAGTACATTCATTGAATATATTAGGAGTGTTTCCGTATCAAGGGAAGAGTCACTTTTATGTTTTCGAACCATACTTAAAGGAATTAGCACGCAGAGGACATAACCTAACAGTTATTTCATACTTTCCGCAGAAAGAACCACTTAAGAACTATCATGACATTAGTTTGGCGGGAAAATCTATAATATTTGAAGGTATAGTTCCATTTCAAAAACAATCATTGCTAACAAATATGTTAACTAGCTTGGGAGTATCGTATGTGGCGATTGATAATTGTAACATTATGATGGATGACGAAGAAGTACAAGATTTATGGAAGAGAAAAATGAAATTCGATGTGGCGGTTGTGGAACAATTTAACGGCGACTGTGCTTTAGGACTCGCGCATATCCTGAACACTCCTGTTGTAGGTCTAACATCTCATCTTTTGATGCCATACCATTACGATCGTTATGGAATTTCTTACAACCCGTCTTATATACCATTCTTATTATTAGACGGAAGCACTAAATCGACTCTCATGCAACGTTTGTCGCATACCATATCGCATATTTATATGAAATTGATTTATCAATATTTAACACAGAGATATGAATATAAAATAATTTCTAAATATGTCGATAACATACCGTCACTAGAAGAATTAGGGCGCAATATTAAATTTTTACTGCTGTATAATAATATGATGTTAACTGGATCAAATATATTACCTGCCAATGTAATTGAAGTTGGTGGTTACCACGTTTCAAAACCGCAACCCCTGCGTGATGTAAGTAAACATTTTATATAGGTAATAAATAAATAAATCTTACTAATATTATAAATGCGAATATTTAGAGGGATAGATGGATGTTTGTTTGAAGGTATCTCCGGAACGGCTCAATGGTTTTGGATGAACTTTAGCACATATGTAGAACATAGTATGGAAGAACACACAGGCTACTTTTTATTTCTTCCAATCCCCCGCCGACGCAGTCGCGGGCGACAGCTAGTAAATAAAAGCTTTATTAATTCCTTACAACTTATATACTAATATTTTAACTACTTATAATAATATTCACTACTTATTTAGTTTACAAGTTTGGAATATAAAATTATGTAAAAATAATAAAACCTATTTTTTTATATAAGTAATATGTTTGGAAAACTGTATTATGCATTATAAACCTCACAGATTACACGAGAACTTTATATCTTATCGAATGTAGACTGTGAATAAGCCTAATAACTGAGAATGACTTGAATTATTGGGAAGATGATTACGTTCCATTTTTTTCCTAGAAATGTTAGCAATGTATTATTATTTATTAATTGCCGATATTTATTACTAGGAGTAACTTAATTCGAGATACAATCAATATAATAAAACATTCTTAGTTGTTGATCTTGGTTTCTTTTACAGGACCTTCTTAAATTTATAGAGGAATCAGAACATGGTGTCATCTATGTCAGTTTTGGTTCTATGCTGAGAACTGCTACCATGCCGAAAGACAAAATGCAAGCCATTTTAGATGCGCTTGCCGAATTACCACAAAGAGTTGTGTGGAAATGGGAAGCGAAATCACTTCCAGGGAAGCCTAAAAATATATTTATATCTAAATGGCTACCGCAGAACGATTTATTAGGTAATGAATTTATTTGTAAATAACCACGACATATCACTTTGGATGTATAACCATTATGGTGGACCACCAAATTGCTTGACCTTGTTTTATCTAGGGCCTAGACTCAAGGATGCGCTTCACTAAATTCTGCTTACTTCGTACGTACATAATAGCATATACATCATATCGTATAAGCAAAACAATATGTGATAAATCATATAATTTAATTTGAAAACATAAAATGTGATGAATTATCTTGTAGCACATCCAAATGTCGTTGCATTTTATTCCCACTGCGGCATGTTGGGAACAACTGAAGCTTTGTATCACGGAGTGCCACTTGTAGGCATGCCTATGTTCGCTGATCAATTTCGAAATGCCGCTGCCATGGAGGAAAGTGGTTTTGGAGTTACCGTAAAATTGGAAAATCTGACAAAGGATAATCTACTCGAGAAGTTTAAAATGGTTTTGGATCCTAAGTAAGAAGTAGTTCTTATTATAATTACCTTAATCCAACAATCAATATTTATAAATTGGATTCTACAATATATTAGGATTTTGATAGTTTAAATTTTAAAGAGCTCCATTATTAATCCTTCCTTCTTCTTTGACAAATATTAAAGTCTTTGTCTTGAATATTTACGAGTTACTTATTTTTTTAACTGAAATCCAATCTACTCGTATTAAGTTTTTTTACAAATGTAATATTATATCTTCCTTATAGCGTAAATGAAAGGTTTCTTGTTACAATATTATTTCCAGGTTTCGAGAGAATGTAAAATTATTATCGAAGGCTTGGCATGATCGTCCAAAATCTGCTATGGACACCGCAATACATTGGACGGAGTTCGCAGCGAAGTATCCAACTCTGACATTCAGGTCACCAGCAGCAGATGTCCCATTATACCAATATTTATGTCTCGATATAATATTTATTCTATCCACTATACCTATTACTATTATATACATAGTGGTTGTATTATATAAAACTTATTTTAAAAGTAAATCAAAACAAAAAAGTAACGAGAAAAAAGACAAAAACATGTAATTACAGTAAATGTCATAAGGGGAAATATGTATTATATAAACTAACTAGCGGACCCGACAGACGTCGTCCTGTCTACACGTCTTTAATTTGAACAAATTAATATGAAGTTAATATTTGATGAAAATTGTGAATCTAAACCATTCCCAGATCCCCTTGAACACACACAAAAAATTTCATCAAAATCGGTCCAGTCGTTTGAGAGAAGTTCAGTGACATACACACTCACAGAAGAATTATATATATAAAGATTGTTGCCATTTCAGTTATTCCTTAGCTGTGTTATTTTTTTTGTTTTAGCAGTTATCTTAATTTTTTTAAATTAATAAAAAGATTGCCGCTTGGATAAACCTCTTTTTATTACGAGAATAAAACCTTGATGCCGTGACTCTTATAAAAAACATATTGAAGATTTTTTTTCGAAGAGAATTTCCCACAACAATATGTTTATATGTGTAAAATGGAAACCCACTTTAAAAGAGGTTGCACTAGGACAACGGTATCTTGACGCCGCACGATAGCATTAGAAAACAAGATTAATAAGAGATAAGAATATTTATATGTTTTAATAAATAAATTAATATTAATCATGTGAATATTTGATATTTATTTTAGTTATATAGTTTTAGCGTAGTAATTTTTAGTGTGCCAATTCAAGGTAACTATTGCATCGAATCTGAAAGGTTACAGTCTCGTGCAAGGTCCTTAGATTTAGACTTTATGAATGTCTTAATTCTGTTCACCTTCTAAGTTGCTAGAGGCCGTGTGAGCGCTTAATGTTTAGTAAACAAAATATTAGTCTAACAAACTAAAATATTATTTTAAATGCATATCATATACGAATAACTGCACGTACACCCAGGCACAGTTATAAAATCAAATACAGTCTGTGAATTACAGAGATCCCTCTCAAGATCGAATGGCCACAGGTGTCGTTGATCACCGCGGTGTTCTCGCCGATCGTTTGCCCTCTTTTCTTACAAAAAACGCGAAGTAAGCGATTAATGCCTACCGCGGTCGCCAATGGAGCCTGTCCTGTGCCGTCTCCTGCCAATCGCTTGTAGCTCCCACAAGTCTAGGTCTATGGCATCACGGCAGCGGTATCTGGACCGGCCGATAAAGTGTGCATTACAAGTTTTCGACCGAATAGCATTGTGAGCGTCAAATGATTTTTCACCAAATTTTGTAAAGTCGAATTCAATGGTAATACATGTATAAATATCACAGTCTAACAATGTTATTTATGATCTCTTATTTTGGACTAATTTTGAACAGCATCTGTGTTTAAATTGATGACCTAAATATGTCTGTTTTAATAAGTCTGCGGTTACAGCATTATAAATTGATTAGAGAGATTTGTTACGATTCCTCTGAATACGACTTTAGTAAAAGACCTTGATTGTAAATAGATTATAAAAAAATGAACAAAAAATTTAAAATCGTTTCAATGAAGAAGAATGGATTCAATGATTGCAATCTACGTTGGTGGATAAAAAACACAACAAAACAAAGCGCTCTTCTTATAGTCATCGCTTTCTTGTAGAATTAATATAATTATTTAACGTACAGACAGACAAATTTACATTAATTATATAGTTGATTCATGGTTATTATTTTTACAAACGATTTATTTTCATAAAACTCAGCGATACAACGTGACATAGACAATATTTTTAAATGATATTTAAAATTTTAGTACTTATTTATTTGTATTTTATATCTTAATACGTTTATTAATGTTTCGTCAGTTCATATATATCTCCACCTGACTTGCGTCTTCTATATTAGGGGTGTGCTTAAAAACGTAACAAGAAATTTAAACTTTTAGTACTTATTTAGTGTTGTATTTTATATCTTAATATGTTTATTAATATGTTTCGTCAGTTCATATATATCTCCACTTGCCTTGGGTGTTCTATGTTAGGGATGTACTTAAATACATAACAAGAACGCAAGTTCTACAGACGAAAACTACAAAGTGTTTTTTGGCATTTCATTTGTGACTTTTATTATATTTAAATATTAATGCTATAATATAAAATTGTTCCATAAATATGTTATTTCCTATTGAATTATAATTTATGTTATATTTTTCCACATTTTTTAATATAGATAAAAAAGAAATTGAAAATTGCGATAGCAAATCACAGGGCAATAACTGAATGGTAAATAATAAGTACCTTACTTTATCCAAATATGTATGTATATTTATATTGTTATCTCTTTTATCAGTCGATATAAGGCGACGCCGTCACTGTATTGCACGAGACGGGCTTGGATTGTCGCGATGAATGTATCTCTACTGTAAATAAAATGAAACTAATTTTAGCCGTGTGTTCAGTGCTAGTGTTACTGACATGTGTCGAAATAAAACAAGTGAATTCTTTAAATATATTAGGATTGTTCCCTTTCCCTGGCAAAAGTCATTTCTTTGTTTTCGAAAAGTATCTTAGAGAGCTCGCCAATAGAGGACATAATGTCACAGTGATTTCTTATTTCCCTCAGAAGGATAAGGTCAAAAATTATCACGATATAAGCTTAGCTAACAGTACGAAGATTTTAGAAGATGTGTTTGAAGTGAAAAAATCATATTGGTCCTTGTTAAGACTGAGTTTTGCTCTCGTAGAATGGGGTACTGATAATTGCAGAGTCATGCTTTCAAATAAAAATGTGCAAAACGCATGGAAGACAACAAAATATGACATCGTTGTGACTGAACAGTTTAATAGTGACTGCTCTTTGGGTTTGGCACATCATTTAAATTTACCTGTGATTGGTCTAGCTTCTCATGCTCTGATGCCTTGGCATTATAGCAGATTCGGCATTTCTTTCAATCCCTCTTATGCCTCACATATGTTTTTAAATGGAGGAACCAAACCCACACTATATGAGAGAATTGAAAGAGTCTTATTTGATAGTTACTTAAGATTAATCTATAAGTTTTATTGCCAAAGAATCGATCAAAATACTCTGGCAGAATATTTCAATGATATACCACCTTTGGAAGAATTGGGACGTAATATTAAGTTTCAATTGGTTTATAGTTATTTTGTACATTTTGGATCCAGCCTGTACCCACAGAATGTGATAGAAGTAGGTGGTTATCATATACAAAAACCAAAGAAGTTACCTGACGTAAGTAAGAGTATAGTAAATATAATGAATAAGTTAAAAATTAAAATAAAATATTTACAATTTAAATATTTATTTTCAAAAGTGATTGCCATAATTTTCTTAATTAACATTATTCATTACTTCCCAGCGATCATTTTATAATAAATTAAATCAAATAATATTTAATTTACTCATAACATTGATGAATATTTTATGTATTCAAATAATATTTATCTTATCGATACTCTAAAATGAAATAAACATAAATTTTGCAAACTTTTAGGATCTAATTAAATTTATTGAAGAATCTCAACATGGCGTTATTTATATAAGTTTTGGATCTATGTTGAGATCCGCTACGACACCCAGAGAGAAGATAGAAACTATTATCAGCGCATTAAAAGAACTTCCGCAGAGATTTATTTGGAAATGGGAAGAAGATTCTTTACCCGGAAATCCATCAAACATATACCTCTCTAAATGGTTACCACAAAACGATATTCTAAGTATGTATACTGTCATAATTAATTTAATTATCATTATAAATGTAATTCTCGAAACTGGCGAGCTGCCAAGAGCGCCAAATGAAAATCTGGAATGGAATCTGTCCACAAATCTCGGAGTTTTATGTGTGAAAAAAACAATTCACATTTAGTCTTATATAGACTTAACATACAGACCATTGTGTTATAATCCCACTGGAATATTAACATAGCAAATTTTTATAAATAGAAAATTAGCATAATGCGCAACCAATATTTATTAAAATTCAAATAGCTTACTAGGGTGAAGTACGTTCATACATGATTTTTTTAAGAGACTCAAATTGTATTTGAAGTAAGCTACCATAGTTTAACTTTTAATTTTTACCGATTATTCTTAAATAAATTTAGTAATTTTGAATATGCGAGAGATATTTGAATGTGTAAGAGACGAGAAAGGTTATGGCAGAACCTCAACAATTTGACAAGTCTGCCTATCGCTGGGTTACGGACGTGCGTTTTGTTTTTAATATAATAGAATGTTTTTTGTTATTGTTCACCAGGTCATCCGAATGTATTGGCATTTTATTCACACAGCGGTCTCCTTGGTACATCAGAGGCATTGTATCACGGTGTGCCAATGTTAGCGATGCCTATTTTCGGAGACCAACCGGGAAACGCAGCGGCCGTTGAGGAGAGCGGTCTCGGTGTCATAATTGAATTTATGGAACTCACGAAAGAGGAACTATTAGAGAAATTTAAACAGATTTTAAATCCTGAGTGAGTAAGATGATAAAATTTAATTGGCTAATACAAAAAACGATGACTTCAAACTTGAACTTAATTAAGCACTTATTATACTTGTTCACTTAATCTATTTCCTAATTTAGATTTGATCAAATAACCAATTTCAATAACTACTTTCAAGGATAAATATAGTTAGCGTAATAAAGGTAATTTTTCACAAAACCCATAAAACCGGAATTCTGATACACATTTGCTTATTAACTTAAACGCTGGGTTGGATACTTCGTTAATCTCGGTTTATCTTAATTACTATTCTTTAATAAAATTATAATAAGTGTTATTTGATACACAGGTTTCGTATGAAGGTTAAGCTACTGTCACAAGCATGGAAAGACCGGCCGATATCAAGTATAGATACTGCTATACATTGGACCGAATTCGCCGCTCGCTATCCAAACTTTACCTTCAGATCCCCAGCTGCAGATGTACCACTCTACCAGTATTTAGGTCTAGATATATTCTTAATTTTATTCGCCATACCATTATTATTTATTGTACTATTTCTACTTTACATATTCAAAAAGAAATTTAATTTAACTTCAGGAAACAAATCTAAAAATGAATAAATTTCCGCGTTCAACAAATACCTATCAATATATTAAGGGTAAGGTCAAGTAAAATATCAATTCCTTCACAAACTTTATTACAGATTGTTGAATTTTTTTTACTAGCTGTAGAAATAATAAAGTGAAAAATATTATAAGAAACAAATGTTAAGTTACTCACATTATGTAATAAAATATTTTTTTTTATATAAAATATTAGCAGATTTTTTTTGTAAATTTACTAATATTTCTTTTACCATTCCAACTAAGCTGTACGCTTGTGCTAGGATATGGTTTGTCGGATATGTGATCGGAAATCCGTACCCTTAACCATTTAAGGAAGGACTTCCTTTATGTCATAATTGTATTCGCATTTTATCATTTTTAATAAAAAACAAACGAGTACAGTCGAACCTAGTTAAGTCATAAGCTGAATAAACAAGAGTTATTGTCCGGTCTCGACAGACGACCTCTATATGCACGAGAAATATCACTGTCCCTTGAACTCTTGCTTATCCAGGATCGACTGTTTGCAAACATTTATCATGGACTGCACAACACTTTTTACAGTTAAACCTTCACGGTTTCGTGTTAATTGTTTTAGACATTATTAATTAGAATCCTATTGCGCGAATGGCGCGCTTTCATTACCAAGTCAAGCGTCAGAATGCTTAGTGAAGCGACATAAACGTCGACATTTTAGTAAGGCTAGAGCTGTGCCAGTACACCGGTACTGTGTCGGATTTTCTTCCTAACAGTTGATAAATCAATGATAAAATATTTTTTGCTAATTTACGCTTCTTTAGTTTGCAACTTCCTAAAGAAGTAATATGCGTCTCACGATAGTTCACGGTAGTAAATTTAATACGATTCAAATAGTACGATTTTTTTTAACTATTGCATAAATCAAAATATTATGGCCGTTACAATTTAAGAGATAGTCTCATCAGTGATAACCTTTGTATTACAAAATCTGTTTAAATAAATACTTTTTTATTTTACCTTTTTAATATTTATAATTAAGAGTCAAGGTCTGGCGCGATAATTTTAAGAGCTTTGATTAAACTTATGCGTTTTATTAAGCCCTTATTTGGATTATTGCCCAATTATATACCGAAATACTCAGCTTCGGCGTTTCTTTAATTGATGTAATTACAAAGACAGGAAGTGTTTTAGTACTTTTATTTTATTAATATGGTTTCCTTTTACACGAAATTTATTTATTTATTTATTTATTTTAATTGGTACACAAAACAGCTTAACACCATTTACATATTCAAAAATAAATGAAGTAATATTAAGGATCTAGGTTATAAGCCAAAGTAAATGTACACAACATGATTATACAAATGTAAAAAGAACGAAAAGAGCAGATTAAACACTTAAAAATTAATTATGTATACTTAAATTTAAACTGTTACAATTATGGGGGTTAATAAAAAACACGAAAATGAAGGGATGAGGAAAACTAGATATTGTTACTGCAGTATTTTTGAGACA